TTGAAAAACACACAGGGAGTGTGTGTGCATCCCCCAAATCCTGATGGGATGAAGAAATGAAGGGAAAAAGGATTGCAGTGTGACCATGCCCCCTTCAGAACTACTCTTTCTCTCTCTCTCTCTCTCTCTCTCTCTCTCTCTCTCTCATGTGCCCTGTGGAAATAAATACATAAATCGTGAAATGACAGAATGTTAGTACCTTGTAACCCCTAACTGAATGGATAACCAATTGAACATCAGTGGCTGCTAATACAAAAGACTAAAAAGCAGACATCACATGCCTCGTAATAGAACATACGCCATAAGCGATGCAGCTAAAGGGCTCGAACATGCATGTGACCGTCACCTCTGGATCCAGCTACCAATCTGCAGGGCAGAGGAAGATACTGAGCTTCACCAACACAGTGCAGTCAGTAAGGACAAGTTTGTGGAAGACTCCATAAATCAAATGGATCAGGTTCTTCTAAAGAAAGATCATAAGACAAGATAGAGGAAAACCTGTAGTTTAAAAGAGATGCAAAAGATATGTCAGACTTTTTTTTATTTTTTTAAAGGTTTTGCCTTAGGGTGTGTACATTCCCAAGGGAAAGATAAGAGACAGTGAGAAGGAAAGTTAGAAATCAACCCCCGGGGGTGACGGCCACCCCACAACCCCTTCTCCTTTATTCCCCTCCTAGCATCTTGGGCATGCATGCACACATGCCTGGCATGATTTTCAAGCCATTGGGTTTGGGACTCAAACCACAGTCAGACATCTGGGAGTCCAGCGACGTAACAGCTAACACCACCGGCTGGTCCCATGTCAGATTCTTTTTTTTAAAGAACAAAATTTCACTTTAGTATAGGGATGCACAAGTAGGGTGATGAAACTGTTATGTGCATGGAATAAATTACTAGAAAAGCAGGGTAGTGGTTGTTTCTGAGGGAATAGAGAAGGTTGTCATCAGGACAGGGTATATGGAAGGACTTCTAAGTTAACTGGCAGAATTCCATTTTTCACCTGGGTGGTGGTTAGAAAGGTGTTCACCTTATTAAAGTCCCCTTAGCAATCATTTGTGTTGTGTGGGTTTTTCTGTTTGTGTTTTGTTTTACAGCGAAAGGGTTAAAAATGAGCAAAATAAACGTTTTGTCATCAGAACGCTTTCAACTTTCAGCTAAAAAGAATGCCAGTGGAAAATGTAAAGGGCAGCAAAGTACCTCCTGTAGCCAAAGAAAAAATTGAAGAAATGTCTCCTAATCTGAAGATGTTTTCAATAGGCTACAGAAAGGAATACATAGGCTGCTATACAGGAGTAATCCTTACAGGAAATCGTTTCTAGAAGGCCTTTTGACTAAGAAGGCTGAGAGCTTAAGCTATTGCCAAGGAGTTGCTCAGGGCAACCTCAGCTCAAGCCAGGAAAGGCACTGCTTCCTGGTAAAGAGGAGGTGGCCGCCTGGTGTAGCCAGAATCACCCAATGAGTCAGGAAACCTGCATTCCCGTTTTAGCCCAGCTCTGCCTCCCTGTGTGACCCTGGATGAATCACTTAAACTCGGTCTCTCTGTCAGCAAAATGGGGAGTAGGTGTTGAATGAGAGAATCCAGAGGCTCTTCCAGCTCAAATTCGCATGTTTTTTTTTTTTTTAAAGGTTTTTGCTATAGGGCGCATGCGCTCGCCAGACAGACAGAGACAGAGAGACAGAAAGCGAGAAATCACCCTCCAGAGGGGATGGCCACGCCGCAATCCCTTCTCCTCCATTCTCCTCTCGGGATCTTGGGCACGCACGCACACGCACCCAGCGTGAGTTTTAAGCCACCGGGTCCGGGACGTGAACCGCGGGCGACTATGTGGGAGTCCAGCGACATAGCCATTACACTAACTGCTGGTCCTAAATTCGCATGGTTTTATGATTCTAAAGCAGAGTCTCTGAGTGTGATCTGCCAACCACCTGTGTTAGAACTGCAGCTTGGGGCCACCAGGTGTCATGGAGGTTAAGGGGTCTGGATCCCACAAAGTGCCAACTTTGCAGTTCAAGTCCCAGATCCAGTAACTTTTTAAAAATGCCCGTCTTGTGAACATGCATGTCCCAGATCCCAAGAGGAGAATGAAGGAGAAGGAGTTGCAGTACTCTATCGATTTCCAGTGAGCACACACACCTATATCAAAAGAGAGAGAGAAAGGGAGAGAAGAAAAATAAAAGAATTGCAGCTTGGTTAAAAGGGCAAATTCTTGGGCTGGCTCTGTGGCCTGTTAGTTAAAGCAGCCAGACCCACATAGCCAACAGCACAGTTCAAGTCCCAGAGCTCGTGACTGGAGAAACATGCAGGAGGGATAAATAAAGGAAAAGGGGTCATGGTGCCACCATTCCCCATGAAACGTGTGCTTTCTCCCTCTCCCTCTTCCTCTGCCAAGAAAAAA